ACCTGGCCATGCCGGGCCAGCATGTTTGGTATGACGGGGATTCGAACCCGCGACCCTCAGATTGCGAGTCGAGCGCCCCCTAACCACCTGGCCATGCCGGCCCTCCATTTTAGAAGAAGATAATTTTACCAATCTCTTTTAAACGACTGTTGTTTACACATAACAAAACCTAATTATTGGCGTAGAACTGGGTGTCTCCAAACTGTAGGTCACGTTCCTTCTCGGAGGGGTGAGGGGAGGGAAACAGACGTGGGGTAGCGGTTAGCGTGACGGATTGTTAATCCGGGGGAGTATGGAGGGGGGAGGGGGCAGTGGCTCGCGTCCTTCTCATTGCAGCAAGGCCACGCCCAGCACTTTGGGGCCGTGAACGTTATACGAGTGACGATATAATCCTGCTATTTGATTACAGTGGTCCAAAATTTGGTGACGTGCGCTGTTGGCTAGATGTCTCCCCTCTACTATATCAGTTGAAAATTAAGAATAAATAGCTTAAATAAGCCCTTGTATAACTGAAACAAACAAAAATCCACGAGGCCCCGGCATGGCCAGGTGGTTAGGGTGCTCGACCCGCAATCTGCGACAAAATAAGCTGATTAAAGTTTATTATAGTAACAATAAGAATGAGTTGGTTAACGCCGCCATTTTGTTCGCACAGCTTTCGCGAATGACAGTCAGTGGGCAGTTACATCATAAGTTATTAAAGTTTGGAGCAAGATGAAGAACATGTAGGCATCTAACACATAGAGCATAAGGGTCAAGTACCACCCACCCCAAACTTTTTCCAGTTAATGTACATACACTATCTACTATATAAAGCAAAGTGTATCCGGAAAAAAAAATACACGGTGGTATATCCATCATTTCATATCTGTTCTTAATACGTTTCCACATTTCTTGGCCAATAAGCACCAAACTTGACACAGTAATAAAGAATGACATGGAGAAGGTCATGAAGGGGGTGGGAGTTGAACCCCCATCTTATATATAAATAAAGGTCAATATGTGTGTGTGTGTATCTGTTCCTGATATATTTCCATATTTATTGATCAATAAGCACCAAACTTTACACAGTGATACAGGATGACACGAGGAAGGTCATGAGGGGGTTAGACCCCCTCATATAATTTCATATTGATAGAATTCTTAAAAACAGTATGTCTTTCCTTTCAGTATTGGTACCTTTATGTATTTTATTGCACTTTTAATGTTTATTATGTTAAGAAAAAGAATAGAAGCACAATTTTCTATCCTCTGTTACAAACGAGTTTTTATTTCACCAGTACAACAGACGGGTACTCCAGCTTGTTATTAATAACTGTCACATTGACTAAGCTTTTCTTTTTTGCCCCCACACTTTGATTAGTGTCTGTCAACGTGATGATAGTTCTTTCCAAGGAAGATTTGCCATTTTTTTTCATCTCTTTTCTGTTAAGAATTAGCTCGCGCGAGAAAAGATGAGGAGCATGCGTCAGACTGTGTCCAACATGGTTGCACTTACAAATATGGATGCCATTTTTATTTATTTTTGAGAAGCAATTTCTGAAAAGCAAAATAAAAAAAAAGCTTCTATGAATATAAGTGCAAATTGAATGACATATTTAGTGTTGGTTTTGTTTAAAAATATAACTTAGGTTTAACTTCTCCTACCGGTAGCTTTCGTTAAAAAAAAAAAGTTAATAGTTACTAGAAGATCACCATGTAAAAACTGACCCGTTAGCGTAACTGAATGTTAAGTATATTTTATAGATTATAATCTGGGTTAACCGTTTCTAGAAGCAAAAAAGGGAGTTGGAACGAGATCGAGAATTGCAGAAGTTGAGAAAACAGAACGATGAGCTGTTGTCAAATGTACAGAAACTTCGAAAAAAAATTCAGATTTTACAGCAAGATAAAACAAAAGTGAGTTAATATTACTGTAAATAACAAGGAAAAACGAAAAGCTTAAAAATGATCCTGTAAACAACATTTTACAGCAACATAGTACAAAAGTGAGTTAATATTACTGTAAACAACAATGAAAAAAGAATGAAACACTTAAATGTTAGAATGAGAAATGAATTAAATAAAGAGGTTATACCAATTTTATTAATATTAATACATTAAATATACAGGTGATACTAACTTTATGAATATTAATACATTAAATAAAGAGGTTATACCAATTTTATTAATATTAATACATTATATATACAGGTGATACTAACTGTATGAATATTAATACTTTAAATAAAGAGGTGATGCCAATTTTATTAATATTAATACATTAAATAAAGAGGTTATACCAACTTTATTAATATTAATACATTATAGAAGAAAGAAATACCACTTGACAAGGATAAAGAAGGGTTTGCGAAGCAACAAGCTAAAGACTTAGTTGAAAATGTCAAACCTTTTATGGGCAAAGACGGAGACATCCAGTTGCTCATGAAGAAACATTGTGTCCCTGTGAGTGGACAAGGAGAGAAATTAAATGCGGTTAGTTAAATTTTAAGTGTTCTCTTTGTAGTACTCAGTTAAATTTTAAGAGTGTTCTATTTGTGGCGTTAAGTTAAATTTTAAGAGTGTTCTATTTGTGGCGTTAAATTTAATCTTAAGAGCATTTTCTTTTTAGTATTAAATTGGATTTTAAGAGTTTTGTCTTGATGGTGTTAAAGTGAATTTCACATGTGTTTTTGTGTTGTTAAAATTACTTTTAAAGAGTCTTCTCTTTGTGATGTTAAAATTTAACATCACAAAGAGAAGACTCTTTAAAAGTAATTTTAACAACACAAAGAGAAGACTCTTTAAAAGTAATCACCTTAACAACGTAAAGAGAATATTCTTAAAATTCACCTTAACAACGTGAAGAGAACATTCTTAAAAATCACCTTAACACTAAAACCAGAATACTTTTAAAATTCAACTTAATGTCACAAAGAAAGCTCATTTATTCAACTTAATTCCACAAACAGAACACTTAAAATTCACTTTAAGAATGTACTCTTCACGTTGTTAAGGTGAATTTTAAGAATGTTATCTTCATGTCGTTAAGGTGATTTTTAAGAGTGTTATCTTCACGTTGTTAAGGTGATTTTTAAGAATGTTCTCTTCACGTTGTTAAGGTGAATTTTAAGAATGTTCTCTTTACGTTGTTAAGGTGATTTTTAAGAATGTTCTCTTCACATTGTTAAGGTGATTTTTAAGAGTGTTATCTTCACGTTGTTAAGGTGATTTTAAGAATGTTCTCTTCACGTTGTTAAGGTGAATTTTAAGAATGTTCTCTTCACGTTGTTAAGGTGAATTTTAAGAATGTTATCTTCATGTCGTTAAGGTGATTTTGTGATATTCTTTTTGTAGTGTTTACTATTTCATTTCATACATCTTGTTTGTGAATGTTCTGTGTTCGTTCTTATGAACTCGACACTCATGTGTGTAGTAGTTACGACCTTAGGTTACGATAATGAAATGGGAGAGAAACATTTATTAGCATTGGAATAAGAAGCTTTAAAGCAATGATCTGGCTTACAAGAGTTATTATTATAGAGGTTAGTATCTTATAGACTGGACGCTTGTGTTTGTTTGTTTTGTATTTATGCAAAAAGCTACACAATGGGCTATCTGTGCTCTGCCCACCACGAGTATCGAAACCCGGTTTCTATCGTTGTAAGTCCGCAGACATACCGCTGTGCCACTGGGGGCGCTTGTGTTTGTATTTTATAAGTACATACTTCTGATAGGAAGAAATTATTGAACCCAACGTGATAAAAAATGAGCTAAATTTCATAAAATTGTTACTTAGATGTTACCCAATTAACTTTCAAGCTAGCATGGATTATTTGTATACATTCTGCGACTTACTTAGAAAAAAAAATATATTGTTAAGCTATTCAATCAACTTTCACCATGACCATTAATTTCAATTGATAAGTTTGTTTAAGAATTTTCATGCAAAGCTACAACACTCTTGCACTTCTTTCAGGACGTCTTAATTAAAACACTACATTGAAATATAACCGTATAATTAAAACACTACATTGAAATATAACCGTATAATTAAAACACTACCTTGAAATATAACCGTACAATTAAAATAGTACAATGAAATATAACCGTATAATTAAACCACTACCTTGAAATATAACCGTACAATTAAAATGGTACAATGAAATATAACCGTACAATTAAAACAATACATTGAAATATAACCATATAATTAAAACAATATATAAAGAGTTTTGGAAGTCTTCGTTTTTTGTTATTTGTATTTATTTCTTCACATAGCTCTGAATGTTACGAAATCTCTCCGAAACTCAACGGTAAGCTTCGAGACATATAACACCAGAATTCGAGGCTTGATCCCCGCGACGGACGCAGCCCAGATAATCTTACTCTGTACAGTTGACAGTATAAAATGTACAGTTGACAGTATAAAATGTACAGTTGACAGTATAAACTGTACAGTTGACAGAATAAAATATACAATTGACAGTATAAAATGTACAATTGACAGTATAAAATGTACAATTGACAGTATAAAATATACAATTGACAGTATAAACTGTACAATTGACAGTATAAAATGTACAGTTGACAGTATAAAATGTACAGTTGACTGTATAAAATATACAATTGACAGTATAAAATGTACAATTGACAGTATAAAATGTACAGTTGACAGTATAAAATATACAA